TTATTTTCATTCTTCTTTTGTTCTTATCAATATTTTAGAGTTATGAATTTTCCTCTCATCCCTGATCTATGTATCTGGTAGATTTGATTTCTATCATTTTCAGTGTGCTATTTTTTTTTTTTTTTCTTTTTGTCTTTTTTCGTGTCCGGCAATGGATCGCAACCCTCAGTGTTGCAACCGTACCAGACCGGGACCGGCAACGGGATCGCAACCCTCGGTGTTGCTCCCGTGCCCCGCTCAGCCAGTGAGCGGGAACCGGTCTGTATGTGGGATCCGAACCCTCGGCGGGAGCGCCGCCGTGCTCCCAAGCGGCGCACTGTAGCAGTGCGCCACCGGGCCGGCCCTGAAATATTTTTATTATCATTATTTTACAGAAATTCTGTACTTTCTCTTTGTGTTCTCCCTTTCAACAAAGAATTGTTTAATGGATGTTTTTAAATTTCCATGTGGAAGGGCTTTTTTTGTTGTTTCATTTTTAATTTCTAGTTTTATTGCATTGGGATCCAAAAGTGTTGTATCTAATATTTCTACTTTATGGAAGCTACTGAGATCTTCCTTGAGCCCTAGTATATGATTAATTTTTGAGAAGAATCCACATTTGTTTAAGAAGAAATTACATCCTTTATTATCAGGATATATATACACACAAAATGTCTACTTTTTGATTATATTGTTTGGGTATTTTGCATCCTTACTTTGTGTGTGTGTGTGTGTGCACTTGAACTGATTTTAACTGAAAATGGTGTCTTAAATTTTCCTATTAGTAGTGTAATTCTATCTATTTCTCCTTAAATTTCTTGTAGTTTGTTTTTAATAGGTGAGTGCTGTGTAATTTGGTGCATAGATATTTATAATTGCTATATCTTCATTGCAGAATGTGGCATTTAACATTATAAAGTGTACTTCTTTGTCTCACTTAATGCCTTTTTGGCTTAAGTAATTTTTTAGTGTAAGTATAGCCCAAAATACTGCTTTGGGCATACTTATTCAAAAAAATTACTTGTTTCCCTGAAGTTAAAATTTAAATGTGCATTGTGTAATTTACCTGGCAATCCTAACTACAGAAAAGTTCTCAAAACAAGGATCACTGCCAGTACCAAGATTGTGTGATTTAAATATCAATTCCCACTAAAGGGGCTAGAGCACATTGGAGCAATGACATTCCCTGGGTATAAGATGAATCTGGAATATTTATCATACCAGAAGAAAGTGAGCAATTAATGTTTCAGGAGTCAACATGAAGAGGCTTCTACTCTATAAGAGTGCAGAACTATCGGTAAACTATTCCCAAATTTTCTCTTTCTTAGTCAACTGGTCATATAAAGTTTCCCATGAGGCCACAGAGGCTGTGGTCATCTCAGTGACTTGCTTATGCAACTAACTTGTGCATAATCTGTTTGAGCCTGATTGGGTTTATACCTCTTTATTTGATGATAGACTCCTTCTGTCCATGCCCAACCTCACAGCTTGATGGGTCAGGCAACACTCAGGTCATAATGGACAAATTTGGTAGCATGATAATTTAATGGCCCATGATCAAGCATTCTATGTTTACTATGGCCCAGTAGCAAACCAGAAGCTGTTTCTGAAAAGGAGAACAGTTATCTGCAGAGAAGACATTCTATTCTCTCCGATCCTGAAAAACTATGCTGGTATTCACCTATAAGGACCCATTAGAAGTTTCACATGTCACCCTTATCTGCCACAGACACTTTGAGCACCAGCACATCTGTTGGGTCATGTAGCCCATGTAGAAAAGTAGCTTGCATGGCAACTTGACCTTTTGCAGAACCTTCTTAAGTTCTTGGTTCTACTTAACACTGGCAGTAATTGGCTCAGGGAAACATGTCCAAATAAGATATGTTTGCCTTCAGAATCCAAAGAAGCCTGTTAGGCATTGTGCCTCTCAGTGAAAAGAGGGCAAGTTCAGCAATTTGTTCTTCACCTTGGAAATGACATCTGTAGATGTCCTGAACTACTGGATGCCTAGAAATTTCACTGAGATGGTGGGCCTCTGAATTTTTAAATTTGGAGATATATTTCCCTCTCTATGGCCTCCACATGCCTTATCAAGGTGACTATAGTATTTGCTATTTCCTGCTCACCAGGTACAATCAGCATGATATGATCAATAATACACACCAGCATGATGTCCAATGGACTGAAACAGCAATCAAAGTGCTTTGTGGGTTAGATTTTGACATAAAGCTAGAGAATTTATATAGTCCTGAGGTAAGACTGTGAAGGTGTATTGCTAGCTTTGCCAGCTGAAGTAAAATGGCTTTTGATAGCCTTTAACTAGCAGGTATAGAGAAGAAGAGCATTAGCTAGATCAATAGGTGCATACCAATGAAATCATATCTGAAAGAGCAGCTGCCACTGGTGTCACTATCTAATGAAACTTATGATAATCCAGTGTAATTCTCTAACATCCATTTGTCTTCTACACAGGCTAAATAGGTAAGGCAAATGGTATGTGGTGAGAATCATCACCCCTGCGTCTTTCAAATCCTTGAGGACAGTAGCAATCTCTGCAGTTCCTCCAGGGATGTGGTATTGATTTTGATTTACTATTTCATAGGCTGAGAAATTGTTACTGGTTTCTACTTTGCCTTTCCTATCAGAATAGCCTTAAGTCCATAAGTCAGGGAACCACTATGGGGATTCTGCCAATTCTGAGTATGTCTGTTGAAACCCTGCACTCTGGAACTGAGGAAATAAGCACAGTGTGAGTTTGGGGACCCAAATGGGCTCACTGCGAGATGGATCCTAGCCCAAACTTGGAAATAGCCCAACGTGTTGATCAGAATATGAATGGATAAACAAGTTGTCGTGTATCCGTACAATGAAATACTATTCAGAATAAGAAAAGAACAACAGATATGGGTAAATACCAAAATTATTGTTCTGAGTGAAAGAAGCCAAACAAAAGGAGTATGTACTGTATGATTCCATTTAGAGAAAACTCTAGAAAATGAAAGCTAACCTATATTGACAGAAAGCAGATTGGCAATTGCCTAGGAATTGGGGTTGTGGGCCCGAGAGAGACAAATTCTGAAAGGGTTCAGGAAAACTTTGGGGTGGCAAAAGTGGTTCCATGACATTTGACAATATGTAGGTCATGGCAGAATGGAAGGAGCAGAAACCAGATGGCAGTGGGTTGAGAAGTGACTGGGAAGAATGAGGAGCCAGTGAGTCCTGTATAACTCTGTCCAGAAGCTTACCAGGGAAAGGACTAAGAAAGAAACAGTGGTACTGGTTAGTGCCATACTTCATGGAACCTCCTCCTGGGAGCTCTTCGTGATTCCGGTTAGCCTAATCCAATTAGCTTGTTCCTGGCAGCTCCTTCTCCCACACTGATTCTGCTGTTAGAGCGGCATTTATCTACCTTTCCACCTTTCTAACATCTCCCCAACTTTTTTTTTTTCCAGAGTAATTTCGCCCTTTTGTAACTCCACCAGTCCAAGCTAAGCTGTCCCACTTCAGAACTCTTATGGCATTTATTACCTATATCACATTATATGACATGTTCAATTAAATTTTACCAAGGTTGAAAGGCACCATAGTGTTAACTGCATAGACAGTGGCATCAGATTGTCTGTGTCTGAATCCCAACTCTGTCATGCAGTGGCTGTGTGATCTTGGCCTAGTGATATAGCCTCTCTGTGCCTCAGTTTCTCCAGTTATAAACGGTTATAATAATAGTATCTCTTGTTATGAGGATTAAAGGAGTTACTATTTGCAAAGAGATTAGAACAGCGTTTGACACATTCTAAGTTCTAAGTAGTAATAAAAATTAATTTGTGTTCCTGCTACAGGAAGTTTCATGCTCATGGTTACAAGAGATACAAAGATGTATGTGCCATTTGCCCTAGACTCAAGGAGCTAGCAATTTCGTGGTGGTCACATTTAAACTTTTGTAGAGATCTTATATGTGCCCTGGCCCAGGAGCCTCTGCAATTGGGCAGCCTTAGTATGAAGGTCAAGGAGATCGATTCTCAATGGCCACTGATTAGAACCGGTTTGAGAGGCAAAAGAATGGTCACTGCCAGATTTTAAGAGGGGAAAGGGAGAAGCCCATTTGGGGTAGGGAGATGTTGGCTTTCCCAAGGTTTTGGACGATTTGCGTTTCAACACAGCGACCGGCGGTAGTCCCTGGACAAGCCTCTGAAAGCATGAGAACCCACTCAGGAACCGCCGCCACGGCCCAGGCCAGCGAGCCAGACCCCACCCAGCAGCGAGCCTTCCCCGGCCCCGCCCCTTCGCGTCGCCCCGCCCCCTGCAGTGTGCCCGCCTCGGCCCCGCCCCCACGCCGTCTCCCAGTCTCCCGCC